CCCTATTTCTAGAGACGCTAGAAATGCTGCCAGTCCCAGGCCCCTGCCCTGTAGGAAGGCAGAAAAAAAAATTTTTAACAATTAATCCCAATCTCCAAGTGTGGCACTGCAAGGAGAAGCTTCAAGTGGGCGAAGCTGCGATGTCACAGAGTCCAGATCTTGCCTCCAGAGACTCACTTTACCTTCCTGATTTTCTGGCTAATTACCAACGGGCTTCAGGATATGCTGCTCTCACACTTGGGCTGTAGTTCGGAGACAAAATCTTTTCCTTCCACTCTATAACACAGCTGGGATAAAAACTGAAACATGTCAATGACTCTACTAAAAGGTTAGGGGAAAAACGGGGAGAATGAAACACATAGCAACTTGATTCCAGATTGTTTGATCGGTAAATGACGGGTGGGGAGTCGCGCAGCCAGCGTGTCCGCAGCGGGCCGCTGGCGCCACCCTGTGGCCGCCTGTACACATTGCAGCCTCCGCCCGCCTGGGGGAGACGCAGCAGCCCGGCCGGGGGACCCAGCTACCCGAAAGGGGTCGGGCGCGCGCTTCTCCGCAGCTCCGCCCCCGCCAAAACCCAGCGAGAAATTATTTGCATTCCCGGACCCTGCAAGAGCGAAAAATGAGCTCTAGGAGTCGGTCGGCGGCAGGCGGATGGAAGAGAGCGAGGGGTGGGCCGTTCGTGTCCCATTCGCCTGAGGAGGAGGAGCACCCGACTCAGGGGCGGCCCCCCAAAAATCTCCACGTCGTTTCCTCGGGGCCGGCAGATGTGAGAACCCGGCGGCAGGATGAAAGTTCCGTAGGCTCCGAGGGCCCGCGGCCTCCCCAGGCTCGTGGCCGAGTCCCTCCGACCCCGCCCTCGGGCCGGCCCGGCGCGGCGCCCCCTGGCGCCCGTCTGTGGAGGTTGCAGCCGCCGCCGAGTTCCGGGGCTGCTGCGGGCGCCGAGCGCAGCCCTGTCTGTGCGCCCGGCCGGGCCTCCGCGGAGACGGGGACCGGGAGGTGACAGGAAGCAGGAGGACGGCACTGGGCTCCCAGCGGGCGCCCCAGCTTCTCCGCCCGCCGCGAGAGCACCCGGGAGCGGCGGGGAGCCGGGGGGAGTGCGAGGTCCCCCGCCTCCCCGGCCAACTCGGAGGACTCCCTGCCGCGCCCTCACTGTCAGGAGCAGGAGGGGGGCCGGCTCGGCGGGGTCAGCCAGCGCGCGGCTTGGAAGGCCCCGGGCTCCTCAGGGGCCACCCCGCGGGGACTCGGGAACAGCCGAGCTTCACCCGCAGCTCCACGGCCTATCCTATCGCGGATGAAAGATTCCAGGACTGACAAGGGGGCCCTGGGCGGATCTGATGCAGCTGCCGGGAGGAGGGTGGGTCGGACTTTTGGGGCGAGGTTGAGAGCATGTCTTTCTTCGCCCTGGGACCTACCCAGGCTTCGCCTGCGCGGCGGCTTCACCTGCGC